GGACTTAGTCATTTTTACAAGGTTCGCCATTTTTGATGTCACGTGATAATTATGTAAACAATGACTGTCCAGTTTGTGCGAACGTGTACCTCTATACTTAGTCTTTTGAAATATATAAGCTAAATTACAGTTCTGAATGTGACAACAGACAGAGAATGTTTTATTCGAAAACAGCACAAAACCTTCTCGCTACCTTAATTATCATAGATAAATAAACAGTTCGTCTGTGGCGCTAAATTCCAAATTCTTGTCAGTTGCATCTTTGCCTTGCAGCCAGGTGCCCCTTAAAACCTTAATACTAGTAGTAGCCAATTATCAAACCTACCCCATCCCTTGTACAAGGTTTGGATTTGCTAGTAATAAATCCAACCCCATCCCTACTGTGTGTTGTGTACTGGTATTTGTTGCAACATGCTTGCTCCCCTATGTCGCCTACTATGTCTGATCTGTGTTTGGGTTGGATTTGATGATTAAACAAAAAAACTTTCAGTGCTCCAATATTTCAGGATTTGTTGTCAAATCAACTGATTTTATCATTTTTTTTTATGTTGATCACAATAAGCAATGAGAGGTGTTCTGCATACAAAGTGGGTGTGTTACTTTAAAGAATGTTGAAAAATGAAAAAAAAAATATAACTAACCGAGTCAATAAAAAACTTTGCATCAACGACTGTTTCCTTGGTTTGTTGGGTTGGCACCATGATACTACTTTCAGTGGCAATATGTGACCATGTTCCTTTGAGTTCATTTTGTTTTGGTGTATTTGAATACAAACTGGATGCTCTGTCAATCTCCCATAAAAATAGACGACTATTGCCAATTACGACAATAAGCTTGCATCCATCGTTGGACAGAAATATATTTGGTCTTGGCGGTTCTGTCAATGTACAATGTAACATGATATTGGTTAATGATGTTTTTTTATTAAAAGCTAAATCATAAATCTGGGAGAGCCACAATGAACATAAAGCTTGTTGCAGTACCATTGACAGTACACGCTTCATGCAGTGTTTTCACCAGATAAAAAAAAATTACTACCGGGTACCAGTAAGTAATGAACAATTTGCATAACAATGCATTATTCAAATTCAATCTGACTATTGTTTATTATAATATTAACATTGCAGAGTAGTGGGCCACTTTTCTCTAATACACTTTACTATGGTGCCATTGACTTATGAAATAATCAAGAAAAATAATATTCGGTCTGAAAACATTTTATAAGTCTGAATAAATTGTAGGCAGAACTATAAATGTAATAAAGAATTTCAAGCAGATGGTAAAAATTTTAATTTCTCCCATTATGAAATGTGAAAAAAAGAGATGCAGGACTGTAAGGGTCGACCCATCGACTGCTGATGCTGTTTTTCCCATTTGAAATGTGAAAAAAAGAGATGCAGGACTGTAAGGGTCGACCCATCGACTGCTGATGCTGTTTTTCCCATTTGAAATGTGAAAAAAAGAGATGCAGGACTGTAAAGGTCGACCCATCGACTGCTGATGCTGTTTTTCCCATTCGTATTGGCTATTCGTGGAGGCTTTCAGCAGGCTTTGTGTTAAAGTAGTGAGTGCACTTTATATTATTTTTTTTCCTCAAATTTGCAGGGTGCAACCACCTCTACACAACATTACAACATTGACTTTCCTTTCAATAAATTATTCTAGAAGAGCTAATAATCCTAATACCTCTTTCTTTGTTCTCTTTTAAAGCCTTAGGTAGAATGTGTGTTGCCAAATCAGGTAGCCCTGTGATGGTTTTTACTCTATCCTTATCTTTATGCCATAGAAATAGGTTACCAGTGTGCTGTAAACCAATGAGAAATTCACCTGCGAAAAAATCAAATAAAAAAAAAATAGAGTGCATTCCAAGCTTGAATTCGTGCAGAAAAGACATTGCCAGATGCATTGGCTGCCTTGGTAACCCAGTAACAATTTGAATACTAGAATTTTTCCAAAATTTTATTGTTGCAGTATTTCAACATTTTTAAGTATCTCTATCCAATTGCTTTGTTTATTTCATGAACACCTCTGTGAAAAAAGTGACAAAAGTTGACTTTAAAATTCAACTGTTAAAAGAATTTTAAAATCAGTCTGATTTTTTTTTTTTTCAATTTTGGCCTTGAAATTTTCTTCAGGTTCTGATGACATCACCACTGACTTGGCCAAAAAGGAAATTCATCAATATCAAAAAAACTATTACTATTAGTATTTATCATTATAGTGTCTCAGCCAATGGATTTCTTTGATAAGATATTTCAAAATAATATGATTACTGAAAAATACTTTATTTTAGCTGGAATTAATTTTCGCTGAAAGGACTTTTTGGGTATTTTGTATGGAATTTATTTTCACTGATTTTTGATGAATTTAATGTAAAATATTGGAAAAAAGGTATATTAGCTGGACTTTATTTTCCTTCAGCGAAAATAGCAAAAATTAATTCCAAGTATTTCACAGTAAGCAATTTTAGATTTTCCAATGATA